GTATCTCTTCTGGGTCGTGCGGTCTGTGACGTACAGGCGGCGGGATCCGGGGTTGTTGTCATTGGCCGCCTTCAATAACTGCCCTCCTTGTTTTCCGCCTTGAATGTGCACGGTTGAGTACACTTCTGTGCCTCCGCTCCGAAACGGCGGTGGTAGTAACACACTCCGTCTCGGCGGGGTGTCTTGCTGCGTTGGCGACTTCGGCTGCGATTTCTCTGACGGTTTCTGCCTTGTGCTTGGATGGATTTGACCATCTTCTCTACTTGCAGAGTGAGTGCTGCTATTTGTTTGCTCAGCGCGTTTCCTTGTGCCTCGTCTGTATTTGCGGTTGTACTTGTGGGCGTTGGCGCGGTTGTCGCCAGGACGAGCGCCTTGCTGTTGACCTCGTGTATTCGGTCAGCCTGATCCGCTACATCTTCCAGTCTATCTTCCGTCCGTGTAGCCAAGATAGCTTGTGTTTGTGGGGGTAGTCGCCCTAACCAGAGCGTTCGTAAGAGTTCGTTCGAGACGGTGGTCCCGGCTAGTGTCGATAAGTGCCGGAGAAATTGCGATGGCTTCCTGTCTCCTAGCTCCTCGTGCTCTAGTAGCTGTCTGATCCCCTGTGAATCCGTGAGCCTCTGGATCAGCGCCTTCTTGATTGCCTCGTATTTATGCTCTGCCGGGGGATGTGTGATGACATCTTTGATTTCCTTGGCTTGTTTCGGCTGGATCCGCGAGATGACGTATGCGTACTTGGCATCGTCTTCTTTGATCTCGCATAGGGCGAATTGGCCCTCTAGTTGCGCGAACCAAAGCTCGGGTTCTTCCGGACAAAAAGGAGGAATTCGAATTGACAATCTCTTCGCGTTGAATTTCTCCATCTCTTTGTACTCGTCGTCGCTCTCTATCTCCACGGTGTGGTTCGCTGTTGACATTGGTCTTCCTCTCCGACGTCGGGGTCACCAATTTGTGGCCGCTATGCCACTTTCGCTGGGGCGTCGCGTGCCCTTTGCAGAGGATATGCCGTAGCGTGAGAGAGATCGTCGAGTGAGCTGAGAGACAGATGTATGTAATAAATAGGTCGTTTATTCTATTGTCCTATAATGACAGATGTAGGTGTGTCAGTGTGCTGAAGAAGGCCCTGAGAAGGGCCGTGGAGGCGGCCCTGAAAAGGGCCGTTTGGGTTCTTCCTGTGCTGTGGCCCTGAGAAGGGCCGATTGGTTTCTTCTCCTCCTAGTCTCGGAGTCGTTCACGCCAGATGATGCTCGGCTGCGTCTTGGTCCTCCGGAAAGAGCTGTACTTCCGCCAAACCGGCGGTGTCCCCGGTGGAGTGAGGGACTGCTCCGGTTCCTCTGTCTGCGTAGACTCAGCTGATCGTGCCGGTGGCTCGTCTGTCTGCGTCCCTTGTGAGGAGGTGACCTCTCACTCCAGGTCGGTTTGTACCTCCTGAGTGTCGCGTGGAGGCTGGTGTTGCACGCCTCGGTGCACACGCGCCGGAGG